TAAATGTTATGCTATAGCAGCAACATGTGTCAATATTCAGCACCAAAAGCACTCTTGGGCTGCATCCGCACTGCAGAAATAATCCAGGTTGACACCACTTGAACTGCCATGGCTCAATGCTATGAAATTCTGGGAGCTGTCTTTTGCTGTGGCACCACTCTACAGCATTGAGCTATAGCAGTTCAAGTGGTATCAACCTCGATTATTTCTGCAGTGTGGATGTAGCCTTCGAAGGCCTGGAGCAAAACCCAATTTTGGAACAAAACAAAGGAACATCTTAAGGTAATCTTGAGGACCTTATCCCCCAGGTGTGATGGTATTGGGTGGGTACACAGGTAAGTCTCCCTCCATTCTTCTCTTCTTTCCCTGTACTTGCTGACTTTGTCCTTATTTTATAGCTCCCACTGGGAAGAAAAATGGTTCCAATCATTTGGGAGCTCTGCAAAGTGGGCTTAGCATCCTAAATCACATTATAATGTGGGGATTTTCTCTCTGGGTGCCTGTGTTTCAAATGCGCGCTAATCCGACATTGAAAAGAACCCTTTGGCTCACTCCCCAGCATTGCTCCTTTCTATTTTCCCCCCTTTTCTTTGGAGATGCAAGCACTCCACAGCCGTCTCTTTTTTAAAAAAATAATAAAAATAATAAAATAAAGCAACACCTAGGAGTGCTTGACAAATTCAACCATCCCTTTCAGCTTGTTCTGACTCTCGCAAGGGTTTTCCAAAATATCTCCGTAATCATATCTCGGGAAATAGACCCGAAGCCACCTCCTGATTGACTTGCTCAATCTATATGCAGATGAAGCCCTAAGCCTGCCGATAATTTGGAACCGTCTGAATGGAGGCCGGCACCCTAGCCTCCCATCCCGATCATTTATAAATGGCTTTTATTCACTTGCAGATCAACTGTAAGAAGATAGCTAATAAAAAAAGAAAGTTAATAAAAACATACAATGGGACTATTCAGAGGGGAGGGGAGAGATCCTTACAATAAGAAAGGGTTCTTTTATTATTATTATTATTTTATTTTCCCCTCTCCTCCTCCCCCCCCCTTTGATTTCCAGCTTTAGGCAAAACAAGATGGAAACACAATTCTATTTGTTCATTTTCAATATCTAGTCAGAGTACGTCCTCGTAGCAAAACAAGCTCCCTAATACAATTTTTTCTCCCAGGCGTACATTCTCCTCCTTTTCTTCATCCTACGTATTCTTCTGCATTTCAGCTGTGACAATGGATTCCCATCCCAACCTCCAGTCCTTGGATAATGGCCCAACAAATGACTTAATTTGGGGATTTGGAAAACGCTTCTCCAATTGTCAATTGATTTAAGGACTAAATCACTTTCTTTGTTCAGACAGAAGCCCATGGGTGGATGGTTTGTTTGCTGAACCCTGATGGAAAAATGGGTCATTCTAATTTTATTGGAATTTTGTTGACCCCTTTGGTCCTCTCCACCTCTAGGTCCTTGGATGTTCCTCCCCAAAAGGTTCCTCCTTATCCTTCACTTCCTTAGAAAAGTTGTTAAAGACCAAAGAGTTTTTCATGCTACACAATTATAGCACCATAGTTTCATCTTAACTGTTATGGTTCCACCTGCAGAATTCTGGGTTTTGCCTTTTGTTATTGTTGTTGCATGTTTTCAAGTGGTTTCCCACTTATGGCAACCCTAAGGCCACATCATGAGGTTTTCTTGGCAACATTTGTTCAGAGGAGGCTTCCCATTGACTTCCCCTGAGGCTGAGAGCCTGTGACTTGCCCAAGGTCGTCCAGTGGGTTTCATGGCTACACTGGGAATCAAACCATGGTTTCCAGAGTTGTAGGCCTACACCAAAGCCACTACGCAACACTGGCTCTCAGAAGCAATATCTAGAATTCTCAGCCTGAGGGTTCTAGTGCCTCAAAAAACTACAGATCCCAAGATTCCACAGGATGTAGCCATGACAGTTAAACTGGAATCTAAGTCTTATAATTGTTTATATAATGTGAAAGGGTACTAGAGGGAAAGTGGGGTATAAATTATTATTAGGAGCCAGCGTGGAATAGTGGTTTCAATGTTAGACTATGACTTTGAAGACCAGGGTTCAATTCCCAGCTTGGCCATGGAAACTCACTGGGTGAACATGGGCAAGTCACACCCTCTCAGCCTCAAAGGACAGCAATGGCAAGAACAAATCTTGTCAAGAAAACCCCTAAAGGCACACAACACACATACATGTAAATTATATATATATATATATATATATATATATACACACACACACATATATAATTAGTACTATCCTGCCTTTCATCCAGTGAACTCAAGGCAACACTCTTTCCTTCCCTATGTTATCCTCACAAATATAGTCCTGTGAGTAGGTAAGGTTGCATTGGGAGGAAGAGAGACAGGTCAGACTATGGGTGCAATTCTAAACTGTAGAAACAATGCAATTTGACACCACTTTAAGTCCTCTTGCTCCATCCTATGGAATTTGTAGTTTTATAATGTTTTTAGGTGTATGATAGATCCATAACTGCTTGCGCACTGTTGGTGCTTAGTAAAACGGTAGTGTAGCTCCACAACTGTGTAACAACAGGTTTACACTATGCATTATGAAGCAGGATTACAACCAGTAGTATCTGGTGGGGGGGAGCTCTGTCAAATATCTCCAAATCCAGACCCACAAAATAGTCACCTTCAATTCAAACATTTCTTCTCACCCATTGACTGGACCACAGCCTGGTGAGCCAGCAGAAAAGAATTCACAGGTAAGGGAAATGATCTGGTTGAATTAGGTGTGAAATCCTGTATCAAGGAGTTGAAAATGTAACCCTGAGTTATGTGGCAGTTGTGTATTAATGAATTTCAATGCTGCAACAATATGCAAAGAAATGTATATGTAGGATTTAAATGTGTGATGCACAGTGTTCATCTGCATGCATAATGCAGAATGGTACAACACATACACCTCTCTTTCCACAGCCTTCCACTCAATGCAAACTTCTGCATTGGACAAAAATGCCCGGCGCTTCTATAGGGGAGAAGACCTGTGCATCAATCAGAGACAGGATGGTGGTCTAGATGTGTCTTTGTTGACCTCCAGAGCACTTTCCCCCTCTTCTATGACTAGCAGAAACATTTTACTGATCTTGTATTTCATCAGGTTGAGCCTCCTTTATCCAAAATTCCAAAATCTGAAATACTCCAAAATCCAAGGGTAGGTGAGAGAGTGACTCCTTTGCTTTCTGATGGTTCAGTGTACACAAACTTTGTTTCATGCACAAAATTATTTAAAATATTGTATAAAATTACCTTCAGGCTATGTGAATTAGGTGAATACAAAACATAAATGTCATGTTTCGACTTGGGTCCCATCTCCAAGATATCTCAGTACGTATAAGCAATATTCCAAAATCAGGGGGGAAAACACCCAAAATCCAAAAACACTTCTGGTCCCAAGCATTTTGGATAAGGGAGATTCAACCTGTATATAATTCTGTTGCAATTATGCTGTGCCAATTATCTTGAGAGGTTGTATGCTCCTTAAAAGTGACATAAATATGTCTAAGATAATAAGGAATAATGCCACACAATCCTAAATAGTGAGAACTGCAGATTAAATTAGTCACAGTAAGACAAATCCAGTCATTTTCCTTAGGCCAAAACATACAGATCAAGGCATTTACTTCTTCTTGTCCAGAATTTTGAATGTATTTAACTATGTTGCCCTTTTCCTTCTGAGTTAACACTTATGGACACCTTAAGTCATTTTCTGTCTTTGCTCTGCAAACAAAAGGCATCATGTCTAATGATCTCAAGCAAGCAAAGCAATACACTCAAGAGTTATGCACAGGAGTTGCAATATTTTTAAAAGCACATGTACACAGCTAACAACCTTTTATATTACACTTAATATATACTTCCTGTCTTCAGTATTTGTCTTCTTTATTGTCTTTTTCAAAAAGAAAATGTGCATAAAATTACACTAAGTACTCCTATAAAACAATGCAAGGCACACAGAGGACAAAAGAACTGTTGTCAGTGAAGTTGTTAGGCAAAGTACCAGAAAAACACAGAAAATGAAATCAGAAAAGACAGAAAAGCAGCAATCTTAGGATTCCTTGGAAAGAGCTCAAGAAGATGGTTTCATGGGTAGACCTTCGTGAAGACTGTAAGGGATCAGTCCTGGACACCTTCAGATCAGTGTAGCTGGTCTCAGTGCAAAGGTGAATACAATCCAGGTTTCAACCCATCCCAAAGTTTAAAGGTGCAATCCAAGGTACTGAACCTATTTGAAGGATAGTGTTCAGCACCATCGGTAGCTCATTCAATTTCTGAGCTAAATCCTAGGATGGATTCACTGTCTCAGAGAATGTCCGCATGGGCCAAAAGACACAGATTCCCTCTGGCCTCGCAACGTATAGATCAGACGATGCAGGCCAAAATCCATGGGGCACAATTGGGTCCAATCTTGCCTGTCCAAATGCAGATCCAGAGGATCCAGCCTGATCCTGGGGTAAAGAGCATTTACCCTGGGGTAATTAACTCCTGGTTTTGCATGGAGTTTCTAAGAAACTCCATGACAAAACAGGCTGTTCAGACAGCCCCCCATGCTCCTTATCTTGCCAGCTGTTGATCCAACTAAGAAGCCCCCCAGTCACCACATCTGACATGGAAAGGAGGTGCCTGACTATATGGGTGCGGCTAGGCACCCTGTTTCCATGTCATAAATGGCAACTGGGGGATTACTCAGTCAGATCAACAGCTGAAAGGTAAGAATTGGTGCATCGATCCCAAGTCTAGGATTGATATGAGGATGAGTGTGTGAACACCCACCTGTCCCTGTACTGACCAACCCAAGCGAGCATGGGCTTGGTCCATGTTTTCCTGGCCTATCTTCTCAGTCTATCAGTTACTTAGGAGTTCCAGCTTCCACTGCCTCTAATATTTGCATGGATTAAGTTAGTCCTACTGGGTGGAGTTTGCTCTGCATTTGCAGAATGTGTTGCAGATGGGTGTTCTTTTCTCTCTCTCTCCCCCCCTCCACTTCTTAGGCAGAAATTGGCTGCAATCCAACATCACCACAACATAGCATAGGTATCCACATAGAGAGATACGCTCTGTGAGTACTACACAACCCTCATGCAGAATAGCAACATTTCAAAACAGAAGTCAAAGCTAGGTGCCATTGGCAATGCACAATCCATGAAACATAGGTAAAGCTAAAAGTATTCCCTGTTGACAAGGTTATCAAGTCGTGTTCGACCGTAGGGGACGGTGCTCATCTCCATTACTAAGCCGAAGAGCCAGCGTTGTCAGAGACTACTCTGTGATCATGTGGCCAGCATGATTGCACAGAACACTGTTTACCTTCCCACTGAAGTGGTTCCTATTTATCTACTTGTATTTGCATGGTTTCGAACTGCTAGGTTGGCAGAAGCTGGGACTAGTGCTGGGAACTCACTCCATCATGCGGCACCTGAGCCTCAAACTGCCAACCTACCAATCTTTCAATCAAGAGTCAGCATCTTAACTACTTGAGCCACTGCGTCCCTCCATAAGATGCACAATCAAACATTTAATGCACAATGCACAACTTACAAAGACTTCCACTTCTCATTCTTCCATTTTTGAAAGAATGTTTTTAAATGCTCCCCAAAAAAAATGGTCAAAAATGTGTTTCCCAAGTGTCAGGAAACCCTGACAAGGTGAAACCTGGACTTTTGAAAATTTTTACTCTACAGGATTTATTCTGTGCAAAATTCACATATGGCTTTATGCATAGCATATAGCCTATTCTATCCCTGTGCAGAAATTTCTGTACAGAATGACACCTACAAATTATGTGCAGAGTAAGTCATCAACTACAGCATTTCCTGTGCTGAAAACCTCTTTTTCTCCACTGACAATAATATTTCTGCAGGGAAATGTTTTCTAAACAGAAAAGGCTATTTCCTGCATGGAAAATACAATTTACCACACACAGATTCTCAACAGAATTAAGTCTCAAACTTTGAGTAGTCTTCTAAAACTGCACCATTTCTGAAACCTTCCTCTCAGTGGGAAGAAAATTGCTTTAATGACTTAAATTGCTTCTTTCAGGAACAACATTAGGGAGGAATTACAGACCGCAGAGCACAGGCCCTCACAAATGCCTACACACAGGCTAGGTCTCCAGAGAGTTTAGATCAATTTGCAAGCAGTCTGCAAATCTAGCTGGATCCAGATACACTCCAATCATTAATGGATATGAGAAAAATCCCTATTCTATTCTAAGACAATTGAAGTCGAGGCTTGTTACCTTCTAAGAAGCTGCATGAGTGTGGTCCGTAGTATCGCAATTGTTCTGCAAGCACCAACACAGCTCCTGCTGTCACTTTTGGGTAGGTGAAAGGCTCATGCACAATTGTGCAACATGGTGAACATTTCTTGGATTTTAAGATCAGCTGCTTGGTATCTAGAGCTTCTACACTAGCATAGATTTTTGGGTTACACAAAAAATGTATATGATCCTGGCCAATATTTGCCGCAAAAACAGTCTACATACACCCATTGGCTTTTGAAAAGAAGTTGCAAAACTTGCAAATGTCTTCATATTCTTGTTAGCAACATAACAGTGTGTTTAAAATAAAATTCATAACTATTGTGACTTTCCAGTATTTCTGGGGGACAATGGGTTTATTGTTTATTTTTGTGGGTTTTGTGGTTGAAAGCCTATTTTAAAGGATGACAAACTAGGAGCAAATGGAGTAGAGAAGGATCCATACCTCTTAAGCAACTTCTCAGATATTTTCAAAATTAGTTCCAATTAAATGGAAGATGCAGGGCTTTGTCAGGCAACGCTGAGAACTTGGGGAGACGATGTCTCTCTAGGAGCATGTCCGAAGTGAATCGCGGAAATAATAAATAGGAGAGAAATAAAGAGGACACCACAGGGCACTTTGTAATGAGAGAAAAGTAAGAGCAATGGGAAAACAACCCATCGGGCTAACCTTATTATACAAGCAAACAAATGAATGGATAGTTTCTTCCTTTTTTAAAAAAATAAATAAAAACAACCAGAAATAGCATGGAAGGCAGGAAGACCGTGGTTCTCATCAGTGTTATCAGCTTAGCCCC